CATAATTACATTAAAAATTAATGCTAATGAACACTAAAATGGGGAAGGTGGTTATGATGAAAGTTTGTATTCATCTTCTCTGGTTTGAATGATGGCTAGTGGCTTGATTAATGGCTTAATTTCTATCAATTAGCGGGGGAACATCTCCTACGAGACAAGGGTAAATTGAGCATTGAATTACATATCATGCTTTTGTGTGCTGAGAAAAAAAAAGAGCTGAGTATATCTGATATTAGCCACAATGGCAAATGTGATGTGCCCCACTATGTCTGCATTAGCTCTCCTGACAGGCTGGTTGTGCATGGTTATAGGGTGTTTGGAGATGGCTGGCAGACAACATTCACTGGCAAGTTCCTGACAAAACCTGCAGCTTTTCTTTCCGTAGAATTTTAATTAGAGTCAGTAAGAACTCAACCATTAAAATGGGAACCTAGCAGCAGTGGCAGAAGTTGTAAATCAATTGTGGTGCTGCATCTGAAACTTTAGGCTCTTTTTTGGAAATGCAACAAATATCCTGCAATTTTAAGGACTTTAAGATTCATAATATGGATTCCTACCATATTATGATTTTTGAAAGACTTCTTTATAAAGTTGTATATTTTTATTTAACATGAATATCTGAAAGCATTTTATAAGCATTATATAAACACAGCTTAATAATTTTGCTAAAACATTACCCCAATAAAAGAAAATGGAGAAATTTATGCTCCACAGCAGTCCATATGTCAATTGGCTTAATTGAGAGTTCTGTAAAATAGAAGTTCAAAGGGCTTTGGCTGAGCTCAATCTCTCCTTGCACTTCAACTGCTCGCTCTATTAACAAACTAAGGGAAGAGTTACCATGTCAAAGCCTATCCTGGTGTTAGCACTAGTTGGATCAATTCTTTACCTAAATCTAGGCTTGTGTGGAAGTCAGTGTGTGTGGAACTACTGTTGCTGCTTTGTGCTAGGTTGAGAAGGTAGTCCCAGTGAGAGTTAAAGTGATTGATGCTAATTTCTGCAATGATAAAGTTTTACAGAACTACTGAGAATGTCCTAGTTTTAGTTTGCTCTATAGATGTTCCCCAGAAAGTAATAGGAGATCAAGAAAGTGATTTATGCTTCTCATGTTTACATTCCACAGTCTGTAAGTTTTATCTTTGGCCAAATGCTCAAGGTAGCTTTTTCATGCTCTGTAGATACCATGGCTTTCTTCCACATCATTTTGTGACCCTGCATAAGCTTGTAGTTTGAATGTAGTTGACAAATGCAAGGACTCCATTATTTTCAATAGAAATGCAGAAGAGGGAGTTGTTTAGCTGAGTTTTGAAACTCAGCTAAAGTTTCAAATTAAAATTATCTTGTGAAGATTAGTAATACATATAACAAATACTTCAAATGCTGTGGTTGCAAAATAAACAACAACAACATAATGGAACCTGATGCTGTATGTATGTCTATGTATTCTTGACATCTGAAATATTCAGTACATAATAGAGTTTTAAGTTTGAAAACCTTCAGTATAAAAGGGTGCTAACAAATTCATTTGAGCCTATCTTATGTCAAAAATCCATATCCATTTTAATGCATACTAAATGCTTGCATATTATAGAGGATCCAAGTCCCACATTCATCCTAAAATGCAGATTTCCTTAGCAATATAAAAGTGCTAATGAATAAGGTCTAAGTCACACATTATTTCATATCACTCCTATTATATCAGTTCTTTCTCCTTATGTGCTTCAGCTGCATGATCAGGATCAAGATGAAAAACTAATCACACACATCTCTTTATATGTTGAGCTTGTTTTGATGCTTATGGCATTAGGTATTAATGCCATTTTTTCATTAATAAACCCATGATGCTAGCATATTCTGGTACAGAATTTTGTGTAACACAAGCTAAATAAGAGTGTTTTACAAAATGGTAATTTCTTAGTTCTCCATTTCATATAGAATTTTTTTTAAAAAAAAAATCCTTATACCACTTATATTTTAATCATTTGTTAACTTCCCAGACAGTTTGAAATTAATTTAATTGCTAACTCCTGCCACAATAGCCACTAAAAAGCTGAAAAACCATGTCCATTAAATGTTGTTATGACTATTAAGTTTATGAAAACAAATTACATGAAGATCCGTAAGGTGCATTTTTTATGTTAAAAACAAGGGCCCTTAATCCTATAGGATGTATCTTTTGGTTTAACTGGTTATATAGTGCCATCTGCTGCTTTCAAGAGCTTTCATCTACAGTACAGTAGAGATGACCTACAGATATAAGCTGTGTGATTTAAACAGAGTGATTGAAATTGAAGACTCAGATCAAGGCATTGCCAAAGCTCTCACAAAATTATGTTGATAGTTTTCTTGTATATTCATATTCTATTTTTTTCCACCAAAAAACAGTGAGAACAGTGATAAAAGAAACAAAGCTACTAGAAGCAAGCTCAACTGTGATTCTTCTAGAATAAATGATTTATGTATGAAAAATGGCATCAACACATCAGTCACTAATATAAATAGTTCTATATTTAAAGTCTGCCCAGAGTGAAAGGACTTGCTGTCCAATGAGTTAGTATTGATTTTTTTCTGTATCCTCTTAGCTTTCTGACTCCATTATTTTTGATTTTACTATAAAATATATATCCTTTCTACTGACATCTGACAAACACTATATGGAAGTCATTTTATCTACCAATAATGTGTTTGTCAACAATATTGTAGACTAATGGATACAACTTCCTTCCAGTCTGTTTTTATCCAGTTAATGTTGTTGAAGTAATTCAGGAAAACATTCTGTGATTTTGTTTCCCTTGAGGAACATGTCCCTAGATTATGATTGTCACTTGATTTAGAGTATTTCAAAGATCTAAGTCATATCTTTGTCTACTCATGGTTTCCCATTTTGTATTTATATTGCAAAATGTTGGTAATATTTGACAGAGTATATATGGTCTGTATCTTTTCTTCCTACATAGATTATGATAGGCTCATGGGTTTCAGAAAATCAATATGTGTAAAATAGTCCTTAGGCATAAATATGCTTGAGAAGGAGGACTTGTACATGTGTGCTTTCTTTTACTGTAACTGTGATATGCAAACGTATCAGTGAAAAAGAAGGGCCAGCATATGACCTAAAAGGCATGGTTGGAAATATGAAACACTGAAGAAGATGAATTTTCATTATCTAAGGATTTCTATTTTGTCCAACCTAATATGGATTCTTTCCCAAACTTTTTCCACTGTTACAGTAAAAGCAGTATTCAGAGGGTGTACTTTAACAAATACTCAGTGACACTAAGTCACTTCTGTTGTGGCTCACATAATTTAATAGCTTCACAACTGTAGTGCCAAATATATTTCAACTGAAGAATATGACAGCATGGGCAGGGGTTGTTAATATTTCTTTCATAATTTGACTTAACAGTGTGCAGCTTTAAATTATATATTCTGAAAAATTCAATCTGCTTCTCAACAAACAAATTAGCATGCATTGTTTATATGAATCAGTAATGAAATACTCTAGAAGGATTGAGTTGCTTAGCACCATATCAGCTGAACATATTAAAGAGTATTTCGGGTTCTGATACTTTTTAGGAAAAGTGCTTAAGAGATGTCTAGATGATGAATCATAGCTTCTATCTCAACAACATATCTTTAGGCCAGTGATGGCAAACCTTTTGGGCTTGGCGTGTCAAAAATTCGGAAAAGGCCTAACTTGACTCTGCTGGCATGTCCCCCCCCCCCAAGCAAAAGAGAAATGATTCTTTACATATTCATTTATTTAAAAAAAATACAGTCCAATCATGTGTGGTGCTATGTAT